AGCCCAGGGGCGGTTTGCAGAGGTGTGTCCAGCCCTAGCCCCGGGGGGCTCAGGGGGTTTGTCCTGGGCCAGTGCTGAGGGGCCCCAGGGGTACCCCGGGGCAGCCCATAAGGTGTCTGTGGGGGTGTCCCGGGGCAGCCTTCACAGGGGCTGGGGGATCTTGGACCAGCCCTAGAGGGGTTTGCGGGGGGGTCCTAGTCTGGCCCCCTGTAGCCCCTTCTCTGGGGGCTTCCTGACCCAGGTGTGGGGTGAGATGGGACCTCAGAGCAGGCTGGGCGTCTGGGAAGCCCAGAGCTTCCCAGGCATCCAAACCCCATGGGTTCCCCAGGGAATAGGGGCAAAGGGGGGCCAGGGCCACGGAGGCAGTTGTCCCACAGGCCCAGAGCTGGTCGTGTCTCCCCCCGCCGCCTCCCAGCCCTCTTCTGCCTGAGTGGAGCCACACAATCCGCCCTTGTCCCCAGTGGGTCCGAAGTAGGTCAGGGAGGCTGGGCCGAGCACCCGGGGAAGGGAGCGGGTGGCAGGGGGGTGCGGAGGGCCCCAGGCACCCAACCTGGTAGCCACACCACGCGGTTGGTGCCCACCCCTTGTCCTGGTGAGACCCCGGTGTCCCCAGCCCAGGGGATGCAAGGCATTTCCCCAGCCCCTCCCCAGTCCCCTGGGGTGGTTCAGGATCCCTCTGCATCCCCACAGGCACTGCATCCCTCCTGGGAGCCGGAGTCCCATGGGTACAGGTTGGGGTGGCTGAATCCTGGGGGATGGCACCCAGCGTGGGGGCCTGGGGAGGTGGGGTTGGGGAGCAAGCGTGGGGCTGGGCTGGGCAGGAGCTGGGGGATGAGCACAAGGAATAAGGAAGATGAGAGAGCGATTTCTCACCCCTTAATTGCAGTTAATAATTGATGGACATGTTTACTGCAGGAGGCAAAGGTCTCTGGCAGTATCAGGGTGCGAGCGCAGAGCAGCCCACCCGGCAGCATCCCCAGCGACGTGGCCACAGGTAAGGGATGTCGGCCCCTGCCCTGGCCCCCATGGGCACCATGGTCCATTGCAGGGGGAGGTGGGGGTGTCTGTCGACTGTGGGGTTGCCCACGAGCTGTGGCGCAAAGAGGGGGACACCACGGTGGTGTCACGGATTGCTCCTGGGCTCCAAGTGCTGCTTGGGGTGGCCCCACTGAGCCCGAACGATGGAGCCTCCAGCCATGCCCAGGAGAGGCTCCTGGGGTCTCCAAGCCATCCCCATGGTCTTCAGCACCTGGAGGCCAACCCTGTCCCCCCATGCCATGTCCCCAGAGAGCCTGTGCCTGGGGGTGCAGGATGGAGCCTTGTGCTTGCTCACCAGCCCAGTTCAGCGGAGGGGATTGTCCCCGCCAGAGCCCCTCCTGCCCCAGGGGCTGCTCCCCAGGAAGGGTTTGGGGGGACCGGTGGGAGCAGGTGGCCACAAGCCTCAAGGCTCTGGTTGTCTGGTGTGTGCCCACAGGCCTGCTGGCAGGATGGCGTGGCGCTCGCTGGTGCTGCTCCCCTTCTTCCTGGCAGCAGGTGAGGACTTTGCTCGGCAGCTGGCACAGGTGGACAGGAGGCATTGGAGATGCTTTCAGCCCCCAACACTCATTCCAAATTCCCTGGGGGCAGCTGGGACCACCAGAACAGCTGCCCAGCCCGTTGGCACCTTGGAGACCCAAGGCATCCTTGCTGCCTCGGGGCAAGACAGAGCAGGCAGGGGGCTGAGCAGCGGGGATGGCACCCAGCATGGGTGCTGCAGCTGGAGATCAAGCATGGTCTGGACGTGGGAGGTGTGGGATGAGCACAAGGAAGGTGAGGGGTGGTGGGTTCCCCTGCCTCCCCTGGAGACCCAAACCACAGTCGGGAGCTGGGGCTGGAGCTAGGTAGGTGCTGCCGAGCATGGGGGTGCAGGGTGCGGGCAGAGCCTGGCGCAGGCATGGTGCTCAGCACACCTCCTCCTTGTAGTTTCAGGCAACACAGTCCCCTTCTTCAACATGACCGTCGTCTACGTGCCCGAGGATCTGGAGTTGGGTGAGTGGGGCAGCCTCAGGGAGGCCCTGGGGTGCAGGAGGAGTGGCCGGGGGGGCCCTGGGCAGGGGCTGACGCTGCCTGTGTCCCCAGGCCAGCGTGCTTTCCAGCTGATGGCTATTGACATAGACGGGGACCCGCTCACCTACAGCATCAGCGGGCCAGATGCCTTCTACTTCTCTGTCAATGCCCAGACAGGCAACGTGACACTGAGGAACTCCCTGGACCGTGAGGTGAGGGCAGAGACCGGGGCAGATGTCCCTGCCTGAGCTGGGGGATCTGGGGTGACAGGGATGGAGGGCAGAGACTGAGTTCTGTGGGAGAGCTACTCATGGTGGTATTGTGGGTCACTCCCTGGCCCCAAAGCCTGGCTCCAGGTGGGAGAGCCGTCTGGGAGGATCATCCTACCCAGGGGTGGCGGGTGGGAGGGCATTGGGGCTCAGCCATCCAAGGATCAAGCTCCACCTGGCCCTGACCAAGTCCTGCCTTGTGTCCCTCCAGCTCCTGCCCAAGTTCACCATCATCGTCAACGTGTTCGATGGGAAGAATGAAGCAGTGAGTGCCAGGGCACGGGCTGGCTGGCTGCAGCGGGTGATGGGGATGGGGAGGGGAGTAGGATCTCAGAGGGGCTGTGGACAAGGCTCGGTGGGGAAGGGACCTGGAGGTGGGCTTTGCCCAGGGGCGGGTGATGCTGGCTGGCTTCATAGCTGAGGGGGCGCAGGGTGCCGGAGCTGCACCCAGCTCTGCCACGCACCGTCTCCCGCACTCACCCTGTGCCCTCCCTGACACCTGGTAGATCTCCAAAAAGCTCACGATCATCGTGGAGGACCGTAATGACAACGCCCCAGTCTTCCAGAACCTGCCGTATGAAACCTCCATCTCTGAGGTACCTTCCCGGGACCTCTCGGCCCCTGTGGGCAGCAGAGCAGGGGCTCTGGGTGGCTCCTGTGGCATGGGTGTGCCGGCAGAGAGACAACGGTGCACCGGGAACGGGGTGACCCCACACCTGTGTGGTGACGGTGTGCCTGGGCGTGGGGCAATGGTGCAGCTGGCAAGGCTGACCTGGGAGCGCTCTGTGCCGGGGCAGTTCCCGGTGGGTGCCTCTGTGCCAGCCAGAGACGCTGGCGCATGGCTGGGACTCTGCCCTTGTGACGAGTTTCTTATCAGGGAGTGCCCAAGCTGCCACTCAGCCTGGGCCAGGATGAGGCCGGATCAGGGTGCAGAAGGGGTGTGGGGCTGAGTTCGGCCCCCCTCCGGCAGCCCCAGGGCTGGGGTGCAGCCCCTGCTCCCAGGGAGCCCCAGGGAGGGTAGCAGGGGGGATCCGGCCTCTGCCCAGCGTGAGCAAGGGCAGCAGCTCATCCCTGCATGGCCCACGGCACTGGGCAGCCCCTGGAGCCCTGTGGGGCCAGAGCACCCCAGAGCAGGGCTGGCAGGGGCTGGGCCCCGCACCACCCCCTCTGCTCTCCCGGGCAATGCCACCACCACCCCTCTGTGTCCCAGAACATGAAACTCAACAGCATCATCTACACTGTGTTTGCCAATGACAGCGACACCGGGAACGCCTCCAAAGTCAGCTACAGCATTGAGGAGGTGAGTGCAGGGCTGAGCCCCAACACCCCAGGCATTGCCCTGGCCGGGCGCTCAGTGTGCTGGGGGGTGGGAGGCCGGGAAAACACTGGGGGTCCCAGGACCTCTGCAGCAAGTGCTCTGTGCCAACGGGAAGACGCTGTGGCTTGACTGCGTGAGCCAGGGCAGGCCCTGGCATCTCCCCTGGCTGAGCCTGCCGACTCCCCGGCACCAAGGAGGGGTTCATGCCTGCTGGAGAGCAGCAGTACATCGCAGTGGGGCATGCCATACCTGAAACCCACCCCTGAGATACCTCTGTGGGGCAGAGGTGCTGGGGGACCCGGCTGGGGGCAGTCCCATGGCTCTGGGGGAGCAGGGGTATGTGTCGGGTCAGGAGTGCTGGTTCTGCACCCATTGGGCAACGGGTGCAAGGTGCTGAACAGTTGCAAGCTGGGGATGAGCCATGTGGTAGGGGGTCCCCACATCCCGTGGGCCAAGCCTGGCAGTAGAATGGGGGTTGAGCCCCAGTCTCTGCTGGGGCACCTCTGCTCCCTGCCTTGGTGACACGGGGTGATGCCCCCTGCCCAGGTGATCCCAGACAGCAGGAAGAATCGCTGGCTTTTCTACATCCTACCCAACGGGAGCGTGGTGCTCAATGGCTCACTGGACTATGCCACGAACACCTTCTACCAGCTCAAGATCCTTGCCAAGGTGGGGGCCAGCCGGGCCGGGGGTGCAGGCCTGCCAGGTAAGGGTGCCATGGGACTAATGGGTGCTCTGCTCCCCAGGATGGCGGGGGGTGGCTGCACAACGTGTTGACCTTCCAGCAGAGCTCAACCTACCTGTCCCTGACCATACGTGACCTGCCCAACCTGGACCCACGGTTCCTCAACGAGCCCTACTCCGGCTCTGTGCCGGAGAACTGCACCCTGGTAAGGAGCCCGCCTGCCCCAGTGGCATGTCCCTACCCCTGGCCCTCCCTGGGGGCTCTGATGCCCCAGGGTGTCTGGACCACCAGGCATGGGGGCAGCTGGAGACATCATGGGTTCTTCCCTGACGGCCATGTCCCTGCAGGGCACCACTGTGCTGACTGTCACCGCCGTGGACAGAGACACAGGGGTGAATGATGAAATCTCCTACAGCATCACCAGTGAGTGATTGGGCAGGGCGGGATGGGCAGGGGGTGAGCAGTGGCAGGGGGGGATGGGCAGGGGGGGTTTGGGGGTGAAGGCAGGGTGGGATGGGCAGGGGGGGTGATCTGGAAGCAAGGGGCACCATGGGGACTGGTTCTGGGCTCCCGGGCACTGCCAGCCTGCCCTGCTGGCAGAGAGAGGGCCAGGCCTGTGTTTCCCAGTGGCTGCAGCTGGTTCCTGATGTCCCCTTGCCCTAGATGCCAGCGTCCCCTTTGCTATCAGTGCGACAACGGGCACCATCACTGTGAGTGGGCCCCTGGACCGTGAGCAGCTGCCAAGCGAGGAAGTGCTTCTGGAAGTCACGGTGAGTAGGAGGCAGCAAGGGGAACCCCATCCTCTTCCTCTCACCGGGCCCCTCCAACTCACTCTCTCCTCCTGCCCAGGCACGTGAGAAGAACCTGGACATCCACGGCAAGGTGGCACAGGCCAGCACCATGGTGGCAGTCATGGTGACTGATGTCAATGACAACAAGCCCCAGTTCTACCGCTGCTCCCTTCCCAGCTGCGACTTCTCCACTAGTGCCCAGAACAACTTCAGGGGCAACATCATAGAGCACTCCTCCTCCAGACTGCCCGTGTCCAACCTCAGCATCGTTGCCCATGACCCGGACAAGGTGGGAGCTTGTGCAGGGGGCTGGACTGGGGTGCAGGTGCCTGTCCTGGCTGAACCACCCACACTCACTCCTGTGTGTCTCTCCCCGGCAGGGCATCAACAGCAACTATGAGCTCTACCTGCAGGGTCCGAATGCCAGCGCCTTCACTGTCTCACCCACAAAAATTGTGGGCACAGGAGAGGTCCAACTCCTGGTGCAAGACCCATCCTCTGTGGACTATGAGATAAGCCATGTCATGGTGGTGCAGGTTCGCCGTGGGGACAGTCCCTGCTCCCTGCATATGCTGGGGCACAGAGGGGACACAGCCCTTCTGCAGGGTTCAAAAGCCAAAGCAGAACATGGCTCTGCCCTGGCACCTTGTTTGGTTCAGAGGACCTGGGCTGGAGTATGACAGGTCTCTATCTCATGCTTGGGGACCCATGCGAGACAGTGTCCTTTCTCCATCCTGCAGATCATCGCTAATGACACGGGGAACCCCATGGATTGCTGCTCCACGGCCACCGTGACCATCAATCTCATTGACAGCAATGACCACATCCCCGAGTTCCCCCAGAGCACCTACAACCTGAGCGTGATGGAGAACAGCCCTACTGGCACCATCATCTCCCCAAACATCACGGTCAGGCATTGGGCAGGGAGCGGGCACAGCTTACGTCCCCCAAGCAGCACGCTGGGCATGCCTGGCACTGCTGGTGCAGCTCATGTTGAGGGCACTGGTCTTTCCATGCACACGGGAAGGAGACGGTGCCAGCGGGCACACAGGGTGTGGGACCACGTGCCCATCAGGGCCATGTTTTTGGCGTGCTCACTGCCAGCAGCCGGTGCCCCAGACTCATCACTGCCCCGGGGGCTGAGGTGGATTGACCAGATGCTTCTTTCTGTCTGTTTTAGGCCTATGATCCGGACAGCGGTGTCCTGGGCCAGATCACCTACCAGCTGCTCCCGGAGAGCATGTATGTAGGGGCATGGCCAGCCACGACTGGGGCATCATCCCAGCGAGGGGGCTCCAGGCCTGAGCCGTGGTGACGGCTCCATGTGTGCCATAGCCGTAAAATCTTCACGGTGAATGCCATGACCGGGGCAGTGCTGGTGCAGAACGGGAGCTTGCTGGACCGGGAGACTCGCTCCATCTACTACGCCAACCTCCAGGCCAAGGATGGAGGCAATCTGGTGGGCACCACTGTGCTGGAGATCACCGTGCTGGACGACAATGACATGGCGCCCATCATCACTGGCTCCTACTTCATCTCAGTGGAAGAGGGGCAGAACGTCAGAACGCAGATCCAGGTATGCGCTGCTGGAGGTGGAGAGGATGATGGGGGGACTGTTGGAGAGGAGCAGGGACTGTCCCCGAGGTGCCGGACAGCCCCGTTCCAACCCCTGACCTTTTCAGGCCATTGACAATGATGAGCCTGGCAGCCGCAACAGCGAGTTGGGCTTCAAGATCTTGCCAGGACCATTCAGCAACAACTTCACCATCAACGCAGCCACGGGTGAGATGCACAGCAAGGAGCCACTGGACCGCGAGGCCTTGGAAGATGAGCGGGGGCAGGTGGTGGTGACAGTGGAGGTGTACGACCACGGCGTGCCGCAGCTCCACACCTTGGTGAACGTCACCATCACTGTGGGGGTGAGCCCTGGGCACAAGCGGGGACGCGCTGGGGCAGGTGGAGGCTTGGAGCTGGGATGTAAGGGCAGGGAGGGGATGTGGGATCCCTGGCCATGGCAGGGGCACCATGTCCCCACACTCTCTGTGGGGGCAGAGGGAATAGTTGATGCAGAGATGCAGGAGAGGGCTTGTGTGCCTCCTGCCTGCGGGCAGGCACATGTCCACGCTCCTGTCCCCAGCCTGCTGTGGGGGACCCTGTTTCCTGGAGCGGCTACAACCATGGACTTTATCTCCTGCAGGACATGAACGACAACGCACCCGTGTTCCTCAACCAGTCCTATGAGTTCTCAGTCTTTGAAGACTCTCCAGGTAGAAGTTGTGTGGCCAGGCTCGTGGGACCAGTGGTGCCCCAGAGTCAGTGCCCACTGGCCACTGAGTGTTTGTCTCCACCTGCAGGGTCCCTCGTGGGTGAGGTGGAGGCCACAGATGCTGACCGGACGGAGATCAATTCCCGCATTTCCTTCCTACTTCAGAGGGGCAGTGGCTCCAGCAACTTCTTGATCCGCTCATTCCACGTGGAGCCAGGGTACTATGGTGGGCAGCTGTCAGTGGACCCCGACATGTCCCTGGACTATGACACCCTGCAGCAGAAGTTCTTCTTCTTGGTGGTGCTGGCAGAGAACACGGCCGCAGACAACATGGGGGACACTGCCAACGTCTCGGTGGTGGTCCACATCCTAGACATCAATGATGAGCCCCCCACCATCCTGCCAGCCTCGCTGCAGGATGTGCATGTGAGCGAGAACGGCACGCAGCAGGGCCTGGTCCACATGCTGGTCGCCTCCGACCCAGACACCAACCACTCGCTGGTCTTCGAGGAGCTGGCAGTCACCTGCTTCAAGGGGGCGAGCAGCGCTGGGGAGGTGTGCTGGGACTGGTTTGTGCTGGCACCCAATGGCTCGGTGCTGGTGAACAGCTCGGACATTGACTACGAGCTGTGTGACAGGGTGGTGCTCACGCTGCGGGCTGAAGACCTGTACACCAAGAAGGGCAACCGCTACAGCCAGAATGGTATGGCACCCACTCCCCGCTCCTTCCACCACCACTGGGCATGGTGGGCAGTGGGACCTGCCTCTCCCACCTCCCAGGAGGAGCTGTGGTGAGCAGGGCAGGAGCCAGGCAGTTTGGCGATGGAGGGAGGGTGTCCCCAGCTCTTTTGGTCCCTGCTACAGGGACCTGAGCCTGCTGGGAAGGTGGGGCTCCCATGGGCAGCAGAGGAGGGTGCTGCAGGGCTGCTCTGTTGGTGACTGGAGCTCTGCTTTTGGGACATTTGCAGAAACCCTGAGGATCCTCATCACCGATGTGAACGACAACACACCACTCTTCCTGCCCATCTTGCAGACCTTTGGTGAGCAGTCAGGGCTGGTGCGTTCTGTGGGCTCCGCTCCACACCTGCATGTGCTTTGCTGTGCTTCCCGGCGGTGGGGACCTTCCACCAGCCAGGGCAGGGCTGTGAGAGGTGCAGGGGCCAGGCTGGGGTTACTCGATGTTTTCCATGAAGGCTGTGGGGCCGAGGGCAGTGGGGGGATGCTCAGAGCTCTGCTGAGCCCCTGGGCTATGCAGGATATGGGGTCTGCAGCAAGCCTGCTGTACACCAGCATGACCGTGCTGTCTGTCTGTCCCTGGCAGTGGTTGTCCCTGAAATCTCTCCTGTGGACCTCCAAGTGGCTACTGTGAAGGTGAGGAGCTGGGGTGAGGAGCTCCCAGTCTGTGGAGCTGGGGCTCGCCCGTCCCTGCCATGGGCAGGCAGTGGCTGTTCCCATCCATGCTCTTGCCATGCTTTATCCCTGCAGGCCACAGACGCTGACTCGGGGCTGAGGGGAACCATCACCTTCTCCATTGTCAGCGTGGTGCTCGTGGAAGACAACGGGGTCAGCCGGCCTTTCAAGAACCTCTTCAAGGTGGTGACAACACCTGAGCAGGACAGCTACGTTGGAAGCATCCAGTGAGGCCATGGGTCTGGGCCAGGGTGGGGGGAATGTGGCTCAGCTCCTGCCTGCTGCAAGGCAGAGGTGCAGGCAGGGCCAGCACAGACTGGCAAAGGGACAAAGCCATCCTGGGATTTTGCCCTGGGCATGGTGGCAGGGTGGAGCTTGGAGGATGGCGGTGCCCTCCCGGGGATGTCCCATGGGATCACTGATGTCCCTGTCCTTGCAGGGTGGCCAACAACCTCGATGGCTCACTGAAGGGGCAGTACCAGGTGACAGTGGAGGCTCAGGACAGCGAGGAGCCAGCACACACAGCACAGACCGTGCTGAATGTGAGTGTCACCCCCATCCCCCTGACCGGGGATGCCCCGCACCCTGCCCAGCCCTGCTCACCCCTGCTCTTCCCGTGCAGATCTTCACGGTGGATCAGAGCTACCGTGTTCGCCTCCAGTTCACGAAAACAGTGGATGAAGTCCAAAGTAACTCCGAAAAAATCAAAGTGTAAGGAGTGCCGGGCTGTGGGAGGGGAGAGGTGCATGGCTGTGTAGCAGGGGACACAAGGATGCAGGCCAGGACCCACTGACCATGTCTCCCAGCTTCATGGACCATGAAAGGGACCGGGGCAGGCAGGTCCTTACCAGAGCCAGGGGCTGCAGGGGGGTCCAGCCGCTTCCCATGCCCATGAGCAGAGCGGCAGGACGCCCAGCCCAGCCTCCCTCCATCCATCCTGTTCCTAGGGCCCTGACCACCGTGACCAAGGCAGGGGTCTATGTGGCGGCCATCCAGAGCATAGAGGACACCCGTGCCTCCCAGTGAGTGGGGCCATGCAGGTGGTGGGGAAGGGGACGTGGCGGTGGCATCGGAGGGGGGGTCACCCTGGGGCAGGGCACCGTGCCCTGCAACCCACTCACCCCATCTCTTTGATCCCACAGGGTGGAAGCCAAGTCAGTGATGGAGGCGTACTTTGTCTACAGCAATGGCACTGCCCTGGACGTCAACCAGCTGAGCGTGTGTGTGTCGGGGCGGGGGCCGTGCATGGGCACTGCCACGC